TCTTAAGTTTTATTCTCTTGTTTTGGGAAGAAGTACCTCCAGCCCCTGCCACCACAATAGTGAAAACTGAATTACTGTTGAAATACTATTAGATGTGGGATATCATCATAAGAAAATCTCCTCCATCCTGCAAATTCCCAGTCATATAGTTACAGAATTTGATTGGTATTCTCAAATCAGTCAATGTTCCAAAAAAAGTCACAATTCCAAAATATTTTCAATACATTAATATATACATAAATAAAATGAAGATGGAATACAATATATGATGAAAGAGTTCAGAAGTTCAAGAGGTAAATAAAATTTCTGGGAATGCTCTTGGAGTGAAACTAAGGACACAGAGGTAGAAAATGCCAGGTGCTTCCAGGCTGTGTAAGTGTTAGGATGCAGGGGCTACTCAAGGTCTTCCAACTGAGAAAGGTTTACATCGAGCTGAAGAACAGAGTTGTCCATTAGCACATTTGTTTTAGTTGATTTTAGCCTGTTTACATTACAACAATAAATAAAATTATTATTATATTTGTGCATATTGAAGTAATTTAAAGCTGCTTTTGTATACATACGTGCATATTATATATATTTATATTAAAACAATTTTGTTTTATATATATATGTATATGTAAATAAAATCTCTACCATTTTGTGTGAGTGTGTGTGTTTATGTGTGTGTTCATGTTTGTTTCATAGTGACTACAGGGTAGCAGAGTTACTGGGCACCCAGTAAAAGCTTATAACTATCCTTGGGAAAAGTAATTTCAGTTTGCACCAAGTCATTTCCATCCCCACCCCCACCCCCCATATTCTATTTAGATCATTTTGTTACTGACAATTTTAAATTCTAAGCATTTAATTTTGATTTGTTGTATGTGTACAACAACCTTTTGAAATAAATGGTATAATTATTCTTTTGTAATTTTATTAAATCTGATTTATGTAGAGAGACCAGCAACTGCAGATGATTTGCACATGGTAATAGATTCTGTGCTATAGCAAAATGTTGCTTTTGTTGCTTCTCCAATAGGTGCAGTTCCAAGTATAGTTATTACTAAGCTACAATATCACACATTTAAAAATTATCAAAAAAAGTTCATGCTGTTGACTCATTACTCCCATATTTATTATTATTATTGAAAACCAATAGATCTAATTCTATTGGTTTCCTTCCTGATTGAAAACATCTGAACCTAGAAAATACAGTATTTCTTAAGACATTTGTAACTATTCATTATGGTTATTAAAATTACAATCATGCTGCATTGTATGAGCAATGATTTAAAAAAATTCTGTACAATACATATGATAATCGGGTGACCAATGCTATCAAGGTTTGAAGATGCTGAATGTTCATATAACTGGTATTGAAAATTTTGATGTGTATTGCATTTGCTACTGAATATCAAGAATAGGTTTTTTTGCTCATATAGAGTAAGTTTAAAATGGGGTCTTTTGTAGAAGCACCCAGCCTGTTTAGAATGATATAACATGCCTGAATGTTCACTTATCAAACAAAATGCCAGCTTTCTGTAAAGAAAAAAAAAAAATCTGTCAAAAAGTTTCTTTGTACCTTTAACGTATGTGATTATGTAGTACAAAATGCAGAGTTTGTAAAATTTTTTGAACATACAGGCTAAAAATGAATAATTCAAAACAACTCTTAAGTTCTACATTCTATTGTCCCTTTATAACGCAGGCAGAAGATAGCAGTGCACTCCCAATAGAGCTGAATTTGCACAAGTTACACCTCTGAAAATGCCAGATGGTCTATGGTCTACTTTTGAGAGCTGTCACATATGTAAAGATTTGAAAAAAGAAAGACAGCTGAATGAGAGCAGTGGATCGTTAAAGGGAGAGTGAGGGTCCCTAGGCATCACTTGTATTTTAAGAGGCATTGTGTTGTCATTCCCATATTAGCGTGTTGTGTTTTTTTTTAAAGCCATACACAACTTTTACACAATAAGAAAAGAAACCTGTTTAAAGTCAAGTACTTATGGTTTAATCATTCAGATGTTTTTGTTCTTTATCTGAGAATAAAATGATATTTCTGACTTTTAATTGTAATTTTACTGTAAGATTCAAGTCACACCCATGAAAAATTATCAATGAAGTGAAAATAAATGTCTGTTGAGTTAACTAATATATCTAGGGTTTACCCAGTTTTGATTTGACTTATATACTGTGTGCATCTGAGAAAATCATAAAACTAAGCTTTAATGTTAAAAAAACTTGATTCAGTTTTACAAGATCTTACTCATATGTGGAATCTAAGGAACAAAATAAACTGATGAACAAAATAGATCCAGAGACATAGAAACATGGACAGACTGATGAATCTTAGAGGGAAGACAAGGGTGGGGAGAGATTAATCAAAGATTAATCAGAGATTAATCAATTATGCATATATGCATAATCCTTCGACACAGAAAATAGTGTGGTGAAGGCCTGGGAGGGGGGCAGTGCAGAGGATCAGTGGGAGAACAGGGGGACATTTGTAATACTTTCAAAAATAAAGATTAAAAACAACAAAACGGCCTGGCTGGGCGTGGCTCAGTGGTTGAGCATCGACCTAGGATCCAGGTGATTTGGGTTCGATTCCCGGTCAGGGCACATGCCCGGGTTGTGGCCCAATCCCCAGTTGGGGGCGTGTAGGAGGCAGCTGATCAATGACTCTCTCATCATTGATGTTTCTGTCTCTCTCTCCCTCTCCTTTCTTCTCTCTGAAATCAATAAAGATATATTTAAAAAAAAAAAAAAAAAACAAAAAACTGGAATGAAGAGGTAATACTTGGTTACTTGACCATAATACAAACTATAGTAAAAATAATTAGATGACAGTGAAACAAAAATTAATGTACTATCATTTATCTGCCAACAGAAATAAATATCATTTTGAAGACTGAAATGCAGATAAATCATTACGGATGTGTTTGAATATCACTCTAGCCATGCCTAGTAATTTCCGTGTAGTCAATTTTGATAGAAGAAAATGATCAGATCTGTCAGTTTTAGAATTTGGTGGTAAGACATAGCAGTCTTTTACCACCTTTATTTTATTTATTGAGAATATTTAACTCTTACATAGTGATTTTAAATTTATCTTGGATTATGGAATATGACAGGACATTTTTGATTGATAAGAAGTCTTCTCAGTATTGATCAAAGACATTTCAACTTAACTGAGCACTCAGATTGCTTGAATTATTCTTTTCAGGGAAAAAAGTGGCCCACTACATTCCTTTTATTGGTGAGATTACTGGAAAGTGCTCTGAAAAGAACACCAAATTACGTTTAACTCTATTTAACTGTCTTATTTGGCATCCCTTTAAATAAATATGTATAACTGGCTTTATGTTCAATAGCATTCATTAGGATGTCATTCTCTTTGATAAAAGAAGTTACAGGAGCAGCAAATTAATCTCTAGATCAATCTCTTACTCACCCATAAGAGATAGCTCTCCTTTTGCAGAAGCCTTGATTGTCAATTTCACTTATAAGAAAAGTGTATAGCTTTTAAACAGAGAAGTAACCTTCTCTTCTTTTTTTCATCAGAAGTTAGGAGAAAAATATTTTGATACATTTTACAACTATTCATGATATTCACAAATATTTAATTTTGACAGTTCTCCTTTGTTTAGTAAAGAACTGAAAAACTAAGAGGTATTCATATGTTAGTTTTATAAATCAGATATTAGTGTTAATAGACTTGATATGAAAGTGTGCTTTTGTTTAAGTAAAAAAATCAATTTGTTTTTTTCTTGAAATCTGTACATTCATGAGTAGAATATTTTGATATAAGATGTTTATCTTCAAAAGACGTAGGATATGTGAACAAGAACAGAAGTAAACAATGTGTGCTAAAGATGTACTCAAATGCAAACTGTCTTCTTTGTAAAAAATATATACCAAGTCTTAGCTGGTTCCCAGATCACAGGTAATCAGTCCCTTTTAGACCTGATCAGTGCCATAGTGCCATGTATAACTGTTATGGCTTTCATACAATATGTTTTCTAAGTTGAAGGGTTCTTAGTATTCAGATTTAATTTACATTTTATAGCAATTCATACTCAAATTGAAAAGACTAATTACAACAGCAGTTTTAGATTCTGAAATTTCAGGAAATTATAAGAGTAAATTTTGACAATGAAGTTTTTGTTGTTGCTGTTGTTTTTAACTGAAATGCTTTCATTGATAACATTGCTTAGGGACTATACAATCAATGTAAATGTTGATTTTAATGATCTCATTATTTAACCAGTGTAAACAGATAACCTTTTCTGGGAGATCAGAGATTTTAGCTGCAAAACCCAGAATCCATTTTTGGCTAATTTAAATAGAAAATAAATCTATTAGCTGAACAGAGACTCTCCTGAGTTACATAGCTAAGGATTATGCCCGTACGTTCAATGGGGCTTCTCTAATGGAAATCTCACTGCTGCACTGTTGGCCCACTCATCTGCTAGGAAGTGAACATCAAACATGGCACCCTATAATATTTCTCTACACTGTCTAGCTTTGATACCTGAATCCATTGTTTTCCTTTTTTTAAAAAGATAATTGAGCAGTTAACCATTATCAGGGATAGCGAGATAATATTTCTATGTCTTTGGCACCAAAAAGAGGACCTGGTACATAGAAAACAATCTACTTTTTCTGCTGAATGAGTGTTGAATTACTTTTTCAGATTTCTAACTTCAATTTTCTTTAAAAACAACACAATTTTTCTCTTCTGTTTTTATACCCATTTTGAAAAGTTAAGTCACCTTTGATTACTCCCTTCTCATTTTTTCTTTTAGTAAGAATATTTTCTCTAACTTTATTCATTATTAGTTATGTCACATATTTTGTTTATCATTATTATACCATATTTATTAGTATTTTACTTTCTTTTCACTTTCATTTTTAGTATCATTAAAATTCAAATGTCTATTACTGAATGTATTTTGATTATTTTAAAATATTGATTCTTTTTTAACCTGATAAACTTTTCCTGCTTTTTCACTTAGCCCAACCTCAGCGCTTGCCTCAGCTTCAAACTTCAGCACAGGAACCAGGTGAAGAGGAAATAGACAAGATAAAGAACTGCTACAAAAGTCTGAGCAATGGAAAAGGAATTCACCATGGGCCCAAACATGTATCTGTGGATAATCGAAGACTTTCGGCACCTGTTTCTCAAAAAATGCATAGAAAAATTCAGTCCAGCTTGTCTATAAATAGTGATATCAATAAGAAGAGTAAAGTAAATGCCGTCTTTTCCCAGAAGCCAGGCTCTTCCCCTGAAGGTAAGTTTGAGATACATACATATTTTGTTTGACCGTGTGTAAAATCATATTCACTAATAATTATTTGTTCAAGCAAACATAATCAAAGCATCTTGCTTATGTGTCAGAAAAAACAGGAATTTTGGTAAACACAGCTTCAATCCCCAAAGTAGAACACAGGCTATATGAAAGGAAGCATTGGGCCCTGGCCGGTTTGGCTCAATGGCTAGAGTGTCGGCAACCAATCAATGTGTCTCTCGCACATCAATGTTTCTCTCTTTTCTCTCTCTCTCTCCCCCTTCCACTCTTTCTGAGAAGCAACTGGAAAAATATTTTCAGGCGAGGAAAGAAAAAGAAAAAAAAAAGGAAGCATTGGCAGCTGACATCCTACTTTTATTTATGTATTTTTAAAAATATGTCTTTATTGATTTCAGAGAGACGAAGGGAGAGGGAGAGAGATAGAAACATCAATGATGAGATAGAGTCATCAGTCGGTTACCTCCTGCACACCCCTCTTGGAGATCGAGTCTGTAGCCTTGACGTGTGCCCTGACCGGAAATCGAACCATGATCTCCTGGATCATAGGTCGATGCTCAACCACTGAGCCACACCAGCCCGGCTGACATCTTGCTTTTAGATTATTGTCCTCTAGAGTGAATAGTCTTACTTTAAATATAACTACTATTTTATTAATACCACATTTTAAAATGTGAATAAAACATTGTGGTGGCACATGAATGTATATGATTATTTTTTCTGTTCCTGGTTTTATATGTTATTCCGTGGTTCAGAGATAAGATCACTTGTTAGCAAATCAGTTCTTAAATATGCAAAACAAAATTGGAAAAAGATTTGGTAATTTTTATCTTTCCAGGGAGTGGACCATGTGATGATCTCTGTTGCTTGACTGACCAGCATCTTCCAGCTACCCCACCCCATTCCAAGCTCACTGTGGTCTGGCCTTTAGCTTCTCTCAGGAACTAGTTATTATCTCCTTCAACTCTGCCTCATCTTGCCCTTGACCAGGTTAAAGTCAGGTTAAATACTATAACCTGAGAAACCTTTTCTTTATTATAACACAGACTCATGTGATGACAATGGGTTTGTAACTTACAGACTTTTTTTTTAATAAAAATGGGTTGCTGTATTAAAAAAGGAATAGTCTCCCCCCATATTTAAGGTCTCAAATTTCTCCTAGCATATCCATGTCACTCCATTCTTCCTCTTTCCCCCTTTTAGCAGTTCTTGAGCATCAAAAAACTCAATATTCTATCTGATATATATATTTTTTTGTTATTCGCTTTACCTTTCTATTTTAATTGTCAGGAAATATTAAATTAGGGAAATTCTGTGGATGCTTCTGTGAAGTTGGCCATGCTTAATCATGGAGATAAATTGAGTTGTAATAGGAAATTGTATTGAGAGTTATCAGTAAAGCATGGGAGAAAGGATATTGCATTTTGGTTACAGGTGTCTCAAATTCAACTGAGGTAAAGTGTTAGGTTGATCAAATAATATGATAATAAAGGGTCTGCATAGTTCCAGGTCAGTGACACTACTTTCCAAACTAATTAGATTGAAAGGGACATGATTGACACTTGAAAATTAGTTTGACATGTTAGCTACATGGTCATCTCTGAAGCATAGTTAGGCTGTTAACTAAACTGGCTCTCCAAGGAGTTGGAAAGGCAATGCAATTTTCTTTAGAGGATCTTCATTTTTAGGTGATTGGGTGAAATAATTGACTGCAATTGAAATCCACTTGTTTTTTTATTTGAATTTACTTATTATGTCCCAAACCTCTTATTTTCTATTTGCTATTTACTTATTATAAAGAACAGTAACATTTGCATATCCAACTTGAAATTGGGTATGACACTTTAATACTTTTTATATTATTTGCTTACTTTTAGAATCATGTGTGAATTTATTTCTGATACAAGAATGAAGCTTCATAAGCAACATATGAAGAAAGAGGAAAGTCAATAGTATATAAATGAAATAAACCCTCTTCTTCTCCCTCTTCCTTTTTTCTTTTTTTGTTTCCCCCTCTCACATACACACATTTATGGCCCACCACAAAGATATGGATGGGGGAAGTCCCTTGAAATAGTGATATCACAAATTCTGTTCCAGATTTTGTTTTGGGGGTATCAGAAATATGAAGCACAAATGAAGATGACTAAATATACTATACAATGTCCTATGCATAGCTTTGCTGTTAGGCCATAGTATTTAGCCAGTTGTAGGTTTATTTTATTTTCATTGCTTGAATCTAGATGAAAATTCCATTGTCCTAGTATATATTTACTCAAAGTTTGATGTTTTCATTCTTTTAGCTGCTATTTAAGGTTGTGACCTAAAGTTTTGTTGTTTCTTCTGATTTTCAGTTTTAAAGTTGTTTATTTTCTTGGAAATACACTGTAATTAAACAAACACACAAAAAACAAACAAGCATAGAACTAGTAAATGGCAAATTAAAAGGAACACATTCTCAGTTCTGCTGCCAGCTAGCTGGAGGACTTGGGTTCCCTTGGGGCTGCTTTTTTAATAAAACAGTGTAAATGGTGTGGATTACAAATCTTCAAAGTTAGTTTCTGTTCCAAGATTCTGTGATGCTCTCTTTACAGCAAAGCTGCTTCATGAACTCTACAGATAGGTTCTCTTTCTGTACAGACAGTGTGGGATCCTTGGTTGAGAAGAAATCTAATACTAGTGGAATAGAACAGGGTAATAGCAGAAAGGATTTTAATGAACAGACATGACATCTGGATTTCAGGAGGACTGTATTTGAGAACAGCAAGTCTTGAACAGGCTCCAGAAGCATAGACTGACAGATCTCAGAGGGGAGGTGTGGGGGGGAGGGGGGAGGTTAACCAAAGAACATATATGCATAGCTCATGGACACAGACATTAATGTGGTGGAGG